AAGAGAGGAGGGGAAAGCAAGCCCAGTAACGGAAAACAACCAGTGACAAAAGAGGCATAGAGTTCTGCATGTAACAAGTGCTCATTTACAGAGTTTATTTTAAGAAATGTACAAAGAAAAACATCACATGAGCTTACGGAGAGAAGCCTTTTCGCATGACAGAATGTTACATATGTACAAACGACGGAGGCAGTTTCAAACAAAGCAGAGCCCTCTTTCCACAGCAGTCCACATGTAAACACTGCTGGAATCTGTGTGTCTCAAGGAACACATCCCTTGCTGAGCAGATGCTGAAGAAGACTGAGGGGTGCCGGGTGACAGCCGGAAAGCCTCAGTCCCATCACTGGCAAGGAGAAGCATCTACAGCAAGACAGTCCCCCACCCCACCCCCCGGCAGACACCCCAGAAGCAGGCCCTGGAAGGAGCCCCAGCAGAACTAAATGCTCTCTGCTGGGTGTTTGTGTGTGTGTGTGTTAGAGTGTGTGAGTTTGTGTGTGTGTGTGTAAGAGAGAGAGAGAGAGAGAGAGAGAGAGAGAGAGAGAGAGAGAGAGAGAGAGAGACAAGGAGAAAGATGAACCTGACTTGAACAATGAACAAAATATCATGAACATATGCAGAATGGAACCAATTCTGACAAGGACGCATATTATTTCTGATGATTAGGGAAGTGAATTTGGGGCACAAAGAGTTCTCCATCACATTTCCCTATCTGCAAGTCATTTGCAAATATTCAAGTTTTTAAAATTTGTATTTAAAAAAACACACCAGATTTCTGTAAATTCTGCAATATTGTTTTTTTTAATCTTCATTTTAAAAAAGGGATTCTTGTAGATTTGGGCATGAGAGTTTTGAAAAAACAAACCTGGGGGTGGCCCAACAACATAAACAGGCACCCTGATCCTCTCAATGCCATCCGTGTGCAGAATTAGTTTTCTGCAAGCAGATTTTGCTACGCTGGGTATACACAAACCAGCTGTGCGTGTGCGTGTGTGCGTGTGCGTGCACGCATTTGGGAGGGGGCCACATCTGTCATTAAATGCAGTATCTAGTAGGGGAATCCTGCTCCAACCTTGTGCACGAAACTTGTTGGTGTGCATGTGGAGCTGGTGCATTTTCCTCTTCGGTACAGTGAGTGCAGCTGCCTCCCATCTTTCCTGCACAAACTAGCACAAGTGTCGGCCTCCAAGTTGAATGCCTGATTTTCTCTTCCTCTACGTTCATGTCTCAATGCTTCAACAGGCTACTTAAAAAAAAACCTTTCCAAAACAATTTGCAAGTTCGATTTAGGAAGGGTTTGCTTGATGCCTCATTATTATTAATAACAGGGTTCTTTTTGTAGAAAAAGCCCAGCGGGGAACTCATTAGCATAATAGGCCACACCCAACAGCAGGAACCATTAGCATATTGGGCCACACCCCTGGCAGCACAGCTCATTAGCACATTAGGCCGTACCCCCATGTTACCAGAAGTGTGGTCATCCAGCCACACCCACCTTTCCCTTCTTACTCTGTTTACCTTGTTTGTTGTCCAAACCCAGGGTCTTTTTTCGTAGCAGGAACTCCTTTGCATGTTAGGCCACACACCCCTAATGTAGCCAATCCTAATGAGTTCCTGCTGTTGGGTGTGGCCTATTATGCTAATGAGTTCCTGC